TTTTTTTATATGCATGTTAAGTTCTAGATAAATTAAGAAAATAAGTAAAAAGAAACAAACAAAAAAACTTGTTCTATTCTACATACAATTAAGAATTACTTCATAGGGTTTTATAGGAGAAAGAAATAAGACTTTTTTCTCTTTTCTGGTGACTGGCCAGCAAAAAAAATTTTGAAAATTGGGAAATATGTTCCTTTGGTGTTTGTAGTTTATTACTTTTTTTAGTGAAAAAGTGCTTACTTTTCCTCTCAAAGATATATAGATAGATAGTAGCATAGCATTAATTTTTCACTGGGTGTTACTGTATTGTGATAGAAGACCCAACTGGATCTGTCATATTCCTGTAATACTTGATATATTTCTGGATCTGTAAGAAAAGACAATATCAACCATGTGAATATTAACTGTTTGATTTAAAACTACTTTGTTAAATACATGTTTAGTTTTGTTATTTTAATCATTTTTTTAAAAATCAGAATTCTTTAGTACAAGTATAATCTCTATCAATAGTATTTTTGATAGTAGTTTGAGGTTTATAATTCATAACTAAAATGGCTAGCTAAGAAATTCTTGGAGGAAAAAAAGGCATCAAAAAGGCAGTTTCTTTATTTGAGGAAAATAAAAAGAAATATAATGAAAAAGTTATATTGAAAATTTATAATACTATCATAAATTAGCAGTAACTGCTAATGAATATTTTAACCCCAGGCACTTGAGATAACTGTTGTGGTGTTAATATATTATACTGCTGTTGTATGCAATTTTGCAAAAGCTTATTTTCTCAAATATCATCCAATTTAAGGCTATGGCTTTCTCATTTTCCTTTTAATAAGTATCATATTTCTCTATCACAGATATTGCAGCCCAGAATACACCTTTCCGTCTCAGCAAGAGGTTATCCAGTTTGCCATCAACACTGCCTTTGAGGCTGTAACACTAAACCCACGTGCTCTTGTTGTCTGTGGCACTTATTCTATTGGAAAAGAGAAAGTCTTCTTAGGTAGGTGGTAGCTGTATCTAATTTACATTAATGTATTATAAAGATCAGATTCTTTTTGCGTAGTGCCGTTTCAGTCTCTACTCTTGCATTCGATATTTATTTCCTGAAATGATTCAATATTACCTTTGAAGTTAAAGGAAAATTTTGATAACGTTTAAACTTTGAAAGGCTTAACTTTATGGAAACATTTAAGTGTGTTTATCTTAGCATTTATAAGATGTTTATAGAGCAAATATATACTACATTATTATTTTAATAAACTTTGAAAGATGACTAATGCATAGTGATATTGCTATGTTCTTTGAGGATAACCATCAGTTAATTCTTTTAGAAAACAGTTTCAATTTTTGTTCTTAAGTGATTTCTAGATGTAGAACTGTAGTTTGTCTAGGTAGTATTATACTATATTGCAAAGTATATTTCATTTTTTTTTAAGAATGGTCATGTTATGTCAAACATTACGGTTTAAGATATGAAGTGATAAAGTTAGAGTTTTTTTTTTTTGTTTTGTTTTGTTTTTCCTTTTTTTTTTCCTTTTTTTTGTCTTTTTTCGTGACCGGCAGCGGATCGCAACCCTCAGTGTTGCGCCCGGACCGGGACCGGCAACGGGATCGCAACCCTCGGTGTTGCGCGGTGTTGCGCCCGCCCCTCGCGCAGCCAGTGGGCAGCCGGTCTGTATGTGGGATCCGAACCCTTGGCGGGAGCGCCGCTGCGCTCCCAAGCGGCGCACTGTAGCAGTGTGCCACCGGGCCGGCCCAAAGTTAGAGTTTTAATTCTCCAAATTTAGTTCCTTCCTTTCCTTTACCTCTTCCTATATGTCTTTTACAGTTTTTAAATAATTAATAATAGACCTTTAAAAATAAATTCTTTGGCTTTCTCACAACTTATTCCAAGTTATTATTAACATTTAAATTATTTGGCCTTTTTGAGATATTATGATAAAAAGTGTAAATGTTTTGAACTTTTTTTTCCCTTTGGTAAATTCTCATTTTAAAATTTGATTAAGTTGCAACTTTATTTTTTCATAAGCTGTAATTTTACTATTTTTAACCTTTTCCTTTGCCTATAGCCATTGCAGATGTTTTAGGTTCGAAAGTGGGCATGTCCCAGGAAAAATACAAAACATTACAGTGCCTCAATATACCAGAAATTAATTCCCTCATTACTACAGACATGTGCAGTACATTGGTTCACCTTCTCCCAATGATGCAAATTAATTTTAAGGTAAGCATTCAAGAGATATGTCTTTTAGGCTGAATTATTAAAGGTAATCTGGTTATAATTTGGAATCCTATTTTACCTGCGTTTATCTTAGAGAAATTCTATTATAGTGGAGTTACCTATGGTGAAATTTGCCCTAGAAAATCTTTCAAGGGGAATTTTTCATGTTTTTAGTTTTTCTGTGTGTGCAACGCTATAGAGTATTTCATATGCCCACCAGGAGTCTAGGAACTAGAGAACTAGCATACAGGGAGGAACAAAAATAGAGAATTATGCAGCTATCTGGTCATTTAAACCTTTCAAATCATTTTAAAAATCATTTTCTAGTTTTTTATGGGAGAGTGAGGAAATGAATGGAAAATTCTATGGAATCTACTTTTCTTCAAGTCTATTCTATTCTGTATTAATATTAAGCCTCTATAACATTGATATATGTTGAAAATTTACTTCTTGTGAGGATTAAATGAAATAGTGGAAGTGTATCCTAAATAAAGTTCTATCATTAGTTACAAGGTATAAAATTAAGACACTGTGATAATAAGACACTGTGTCTTTGTGATTTGGGGGCTTGTTAGATTTATTCTTATGCTAAGTATTCCATATATTCTCATATTCTCCATTTATTCCATATATTAACATTTTGACACCTGGCAATGGAATACATCAAACCGGTGTATTAAAAACAAGTCAGACATAATGCACAAAAATGTGTATTTTCACTTTTGCTATAATGTTCATGAAGTAACTTTTATGGAGTTTTTTGAAATTGCTTAGGATGCTGATTACAGTATCTGTCTCAATAACACATATTGTGTAAAGAAAGTGAATGTTTTAGGTTCATCCTTAGACTAAAGAAATTCTCTCCGGTATTCATGAGATTAAGGTAAAACTTTTATGGCCTGTTTTCATGAGTATGTAATTCATAAAAATTTCAGAGATAATCAAGTCAGAGTTTTGTCCATTGGTATTTAAGCAAGCCTTGCAAACATATTTTAAATTTGGAAGCTATTCAGTTTGTTTGGAGTCTACTAAATGTGGGTTAATCGTAAGAATGATTACTGATATCCTGATGAGGACTTAGCATATTTTTATTATTTTTATTTTACAGTTTTATTTCCTACCAACTTAGTTTGTTCCATTTGAATAAGTTATTGGGATGGAGAAGTCAGGTTATTGTAGAAATAAATGAAAGGATTAGAACTTTTCAAGGCAGAGTGTTTAAAAGTGCTGCATGCTGCAGAGAGGTCAGATAAGGAAAGAATGACAATTTGGCAATTAGAACATCTCTGACCTGCACAAGAACTGTTTCAGTGAAGTGATGATGGGGGAAGCCAGATGGCAGAGACCTAAGAAATGAATGAGAAGACAGTTCTCCAAAGAAGATATAAAAGCATATGAAAAGAGGCTCAACATTGTTAGCTATCAGGAAATTGCAAATCAAAACCACAGTAAGATACCATTTCGTACCCACTAGCATAGCTATAATAAAAAAGACAGACAATAATGATTGTTGACGAGGATATAGAGAAATTAGAACCCTCATTCATTACTGGAGAGATTGTAAAATGGTGTAGCTGCTTTAGAAAACAGTTGGGTAATTCCTTAAAAGGTAAAACATGGAGTGACCATATGACCCAGAAATTCTGGTTCTCAGTATATACCCAAGAGAATTGAAAATATGTCTACTCAAAAACTTCTACAGGAATGTTCATAGTATCATTATCCATAATAGCCAAAAAGCAGAAACAAACCAAATGCCCATCAAACGTGAAGGAACAAATAAAACGTGATATATTCACAAAATGGAATATTATTCAACTATTAAAAGGAATGAAGCACTAACACATGCTACATTATGCATGAGCCCTTCAGAGCATTATGCCAGGTGAAAGAAGCCAGACACAAAAGGCTACATACTGTACAATTTCATTTACATTAAGTATCTAGAATATGTAAATCTGTAGAGACAGAAAGTGGATTAGTGGTTTCCAGGCTTTGAGGTAGAAAAAAATGGTGACTGCTGATGGTTACAGTTTCTTTTTGGGGTGATATAAATGCTCCAGAATTAGTGGTAATGGTTGCACAGCTTTGGTAATATACTAAAAACTGGTGAATTATACATTTGAGAAAACAGACTGGCAGTTATCTGCCTTGAGGACCAAAAAAAAAAAAAATGGTAAGGAAATGAAGACAGGAAGCACAGAGCATGGCTGTAAAGAGGAGCCAATACATTTGAGAAAACAGACTGGCAGTTATCTGCCTTGAGGACCAAAAAAAAAATGGTAAGGAAATGAAGACAGGAAGCACAGAGCATGGCTGTAAAGAGGAGCCAGATAGGTCAGATAGGTTTGTGGCCAAAGGGAAGGACTTTGTTTTTTAGCCATAAGAGATGAGGATTTGTATATTGTGAGGGACAGGGAGAAACTGAAGATATATGAGCTAAGGGAATAATTGATGAAGTAAGGTTTCTGAGCAGGATCTGAAATACAAGTAGAGAGATTCACCAGCCACCTCTTCATCTCTGACAATTCTTTCACAACCTACAACTTTACAGACAGTGTTTTGTGACACATGTGGCCCTTTTTTCTCAGAGGTCATATATTTACAAATCCAGACTTAAACAAGAATTAAATCTTCAGACAACTACAAACTCAAAGTGCAATTTTTTATACAGGAATTAAAATTGGTTTTAATAATTCAGAAATGATCATTCTGAATTTTTTTTTCGAGACCACTGGAGGTATTAAGTCTACATTTTTAATAGTCAATAAGTCTGTATTTTTTCACTTCTAGGAATTTATACTAAAAAAGTCCTTTGTGAAAAGGTCAATCTGTAAGAATCCTAGGTGCTGATGGTATAATAGCTGATGAGTTAGAAGAAGCTAGGGGCAGATGATTTCCATTAAATAAAGATCCAAAAGGTGGGGCTTATTTGCCATCTGCCCACTAGGCTGTAAGCTTCCAGAAGATGAAGTCTGTATGTTCTTGTCCTCCACTCTCATATGGCACCCGGAGTAATACTGGAACAGATATTTATTAGTATTGACTTCAGTAGTTCCTTTCCTTCCTTCATGAACGTGACCAGCTATTGATGACATTTTTTTGAAGATTTCTTTAAAACACAGATGGAGTAGAAGCTGATGGTTATCACAATGCTGTATTTTAGATAGTAATTATAGCTAATTTTTTACCAGCTAAAAATAGTTTTGTTTCATCAGAGGTAATGACTTTTGTGAAAAGATAAAACAAGTGGAGTTTTCAGGGTGTCCAAGGCATGCTTGAAAGGTTTTGAAATGCTGTAAATAATAGCATGCATGCTATCTAGTTCAATATCCCAAGTTCATATATATGCTACATAGTTGACTACACCCCCAACGTAAGCCTGATTGACTGAATGTGGTAAAACATTGTAATGGTGATGTCATAGATGTTTATTTGCATACTGAAAAAATAATTCTAGTGACATTTGGCAAAAACATTTTTCTTACAATCTGATTACCAATAAACAGAGACAAATTATAGATTAGGGACTTCTTGTTGAATAAGCTATTTTTTAAAAATTTTATTTATTTTTATTAAAGCATAACTGATTATACACATTTCTGAGGTTGAATATTAATACCTGTGTACAATGTGTGATGGTCAGATCAGGATAATTAGCATGTTCATCATTATAAAATATAATCATTTCTTGTGTCTATTAACCAATTTCTCACTAACCCAAAGAAAAAAAAAAAGACTAAACTATTCTGAATAAAGTTCCTTATGAGAGTAGTTCTCAAATTGTGGTTAAGGCTGTTAGCAGTCTTTTCTGCAGGTTTGGCTTATATGATAATATCATAAGTTTTTGTTTGCACAGGTTATGTTTTTATGGTAACTAATTTGTCTCATAAAAAGTGAACATTAGTTCTCATTTACTTCTCCTGGGTGTTTTTGCAGAGACAAATAGAAATGGGTTGTAGCTTTGATCATGTATATTGAAAGTTGGACTCTTAGTGTATGGTATTACTTGTAGGATTACTCCAAACCTCAGTTTCTTGTTATTTTTTTCTTTGTGAGGACAGGGAGAGGAGGAATAGTAATTAACCACATAAAATTATATTACCCAGGTCCTATTCTGAGCAAGGCAAAAACTTGAAAATTTGCAGAACCAGGAATATTATAATGGAAACTTAGTTATGTATCCATAACTTAAACTTTTTCTTTGGAGAGCACATAAAAGAAATGACTTTGATACGGGCCGGCCCGGTGGCGCACTGGATAAGTGCGCCGCTTGGGAAGCACGGCGGCGCGCCCGCCCGCGGGCCC